GCGTTTTTCACTTTATACTAGTTACATAGCTACTTCGATAATTGCAGAACGTGTATAATTACAATGATCTTGCGATGTTTCAGTAATTTAACTGTCTTTCATAATAGTTTCTCAGTAGCTGCAGTTTTCATTACACCCACTACTTACAGCGCATTGAAATTCCAGCCATCTGTTATCATCTTATATTGGTAAAAATAAAAATGGCTCGCTGAGTATTTTTTCTGAAGTGATTTGCTGGGAGGCACTGTACAACAAGTCTTCTAAAAGGTCAACCCAAAAAATTATCCCGGATCTTACAGATATAACGACAACTCCTCAGATTATATTAAAATTGTTTATTTACTAGATCTCTTGGACCTGTATCACATTTCTTTTGGTTTGGAGCATCGTTCAGACCTCTCTGATGAATGCATTTTTATTCTGGATTTTTTTGCTGAACGGGGCTACCGAAAAGTCATTCCCGAGCTCACCAGCAAGTGAAACAATTGTACTGAATAGACCCCTGCCCTTCGTTCAGCAAATTAGGGAAGCCGGAAGGAATTTTACCGATATGTTTTTATGCACATTGAAAATATGCGACAATGTACATGAAAAGAATCCAGCTGAACCATAAATTCCTGAGCACTATTTTTCCTTCCCATACCTTTCGAAACTCAGGCTACATTGATAACAGTTCTTCTCTGAAGGAAAATAGACAGAGATATTGCCCCCGAATTATGTCAGACATGGGAGAACGCCCGGTGCCTTGCCACAGGCTCCGAGCTACGGAATCTCGGCGCCAAAGCGGAAACTACCTTGCACCCTCAGTGCTGAAACCAGACACTTTTTTTGCTGTTGTGACAACTACATTTGGGCTACCCTCGGTGCAAGGTTTTCTATCCGTAGTATACTATTAGGTTGGCTAATAAGTAATGGCCGTTTTTTTCAATTGAAAAATTTGTTCGAAAAGTGAAACGTTTTGCAAGCAAGTTATATATCATCTGATAGGAAACTTCTCGTAGTATAAGAATATCAAAAAAGCTTTGGTTGAGGATATAGTTTTTGTGAATTTTTTAGTCGTTGAAGTTGGAAGTGAAGTCGGCGAAAATTAGCATCTTCGACAACTGCCTCTATTTAGAAATTTCATGCTAATAGTTGAATTAATTGAATATGAATTTGATATTCTAATACTACGAGAAATTTGCTATTAAACGATATTAAGCTTGCTTGCAAAACTTTTCACTTTTGGAACAAATTTTTCAATTGAAAAAACGGCCATTACTTATTAGCCAGCCCACTAGCAGTTATTAGCCAGCCCACTAGCAGTGGGCTGGCTAATAAGTAATGGCCGTTTTTTTCAATCGAAAAATTTGTTCCAAAAGTAAAACGTTTTGCAAGCAAGCTTAATATCGTTTAATAGCAAATTTCTCGTAGTATTAGAATATCTTCAAATTAAAATTAATTCAACTATTAGCATGAAATTTCAGGTGGAACAGACGTGAGCCTGCCCAATATTGGCAAGGTGAAGGTTGCCAACTTTGAAATTCTTGAAATTAGTTCCAAAGCGTCCTATTGAGATTCCCTTGCTGAGACTTCTACCTCAACCTTTCCGAATGTATGGAGCAGCTTAAGCGATTTTAGCACTTCGAGTAGACGTAAATAGAGGCAGTTGTCGAAGATGCTAATTTTCGCCGACTTCACTTCCAACTTCAACGACTAAAAAATTCACAAAAACTATATCCTCAACCAAAGCTTTTTTGATATTCTTATACTACGAGAAGTTTCCTATCAGATGATATATAACTTGCTTGCAAAACGTTTCACTTTTCGAACAAATTTTTCAATTGAAAAAAACGGCCATTACTTATTAGCCAACCTAATAGTATACGAAGTAGGTATGGTCTCAGGAGGGCAGTCAGTACAAAAACTGAAGCTTCCGGGGAATGATGAGAAACTCGCGTGCTGCAGTCAACTGCACCTTCCGCCTGCTAATTCTGGCGTATGGAGTACTGCTTATTATTTGTACTCTGAAAGCGGGCCAGGTGGGGAATTTCTGCTCCACTTCTCATTCCCGCACATTCTGTTGCGTATGCCTGTGATATTCCAAGCGGATGCTCACTCTAGTGAGCCTTACTAAGCTAACAACTAGGAAGTAACTGTTTCCGCAGCAGATCTTTTATTAGCTAGTAAGCTGCGGAAACAGGCTCTTTTTGTTGTTTGTTTTCATTGCAGTATTTGATCATGGTACATTAGGCTGGCGCGTTTCTCTTCTACTACATGTTATAAGTGTTTTATTCCCATGCGACTGCAAATGTAGATATGCCACGCCCACTTGACTTCTGACATGGGCGGAGCAGAGAAGATTTCAGGATCATTCATACACGGAGCACGACGATGCGGTGCTTCATAGTTCTAATGGCTTACCTCACATCTGTCCTTGCTGTTGACTGCGATACGGTAATTTTCTTTCCATATGTGACATTTCTTTTTTGACTATTTCATTCCTTTTCCGATTCCAACCAGATCATTCAGTAAGATTCCCTCTGAAACCGCACCATTTTTTGACGCAGTTCGGCAACGGGGGGGGGGCAGCATTTTGCACTTTCGTTGTTTCACTTGTGACGGTTTACATATCTCACTCTGGTGAACCTGCGACTCTGTAAGCTGGAGCAAGCTCTCAAGCTATCATAGTAAATTCGTCAATTCGAGAAGAGGCCGTTCAGATGGGTCGACACGTAGATGTGAAGTAGCAGAAGTGAGGAATCCCCCCCCCCCCGCCGTCTCCTTGCTGCCCCCACTTTCATTTTAACCTGATGAGCGTAGTGACGCCAAACAAATAAAAATGAGAGTAAAAATCACAAGTGACTGGAAGCTGGCTAATAACTTTCCTTAGATAATTAGGTCCTTTAGGTTGGTTCGATAGAATGTAGAGCTGATTATCGATTACTCATAGAAAGAATAAAGAAGCCATGCGTCTGGTTGATTAAAACCTAATTGCGTGATTAATTAATGATAAGATGAGGCGGAGGTGGTGTGCTGAAAAGTGGCACGTACGCTCACCACGCGTGCGGTCATGTGGTCGAATTCCGGGTCGGCTAACCAAGCTTTCTTCGGGGTTGGCCACAAAGCATTAGCCACTACGATCCTGAACGGAAATAGGCGTGTTGCATTCCGAAAAAGAGGTAATCAACGGCAAAAAACTTATCCTTATCCTTACTTTTATTAACAAGTAAGGACGAGCAATAGAATTTCGTTAGGGTTGTAATAAGCCACTAATCTTCTGTATGATCATCTGCCGAAGAAACGGCACTTGTTTGACATCACGTGTTGGCCACGTTGCATTAACTCTAAGAGTGTTCTGCTGGACCTTTGAGCCTGCCATATTTTTTTCATCAGTGAAACTGTGTGTTCAGTTTATAAGGCGAAAATTGTGCAACCGCGCAGGTTGCGCGGTTGCGCTATTCCGCCATTTGAAGTTTTGGGGAACTCCTACGGATTCATGAAAAGTTTTGAGTATACTTTTCTTTGTTGTGATCTTCAACGAGCCATCCAATAGAATTATGATGTTTGGCAGATAAAGAGCAAAATTAGCAGGCGCAAAAGCAGTTTGCGAGGAAGTGAGGAGTGTATGCCACGCGCAAGTGCCACTATGCCAATCAGGGGATGGACTACAGGTCGAAGTGGCCTCTTACGATGGCCACTGGAAGCGCTCCTGACTCTGATCCCACATCTTTTCAGAATCTGCAAGGCGATCAGTGGACCGTGGTCACAAGTCCTTCTCGCCGCTTTCTCTCCAGGGCACATCACTAGTGGGGATTTCTACGACCCCCTTTGTTTGGGGGCGGGTTAGTACACATGGAAAAATCAGACGGTTGCCTCAAACTAATATATTCCACGGATATTTCAATTAATATTAGTTTAAATGCCACGCCTATTCTTGTAGCTGCTAGTAAACTCTCTCATTTAATGAATTTTGGTGAGGCAGCAGCGATGGTACAGCCATTTTTTTTCCATGTTCCTGCGATAAACAAAAATAGGGCCAGAGAGGATCCTACGCCACGACCTACTGCATGTGGGAGGTTGACAAAAACAGAATTTGAGGGCGAACGTGGAATTTGAGGGCCATTTCGACCTAGGGTCCATCCCTATAGAGTCGCTTTTGCTCAGTATGCCCTCTCACCACGACAGTGGCTTGGCATACCTAGAAATTGGTGGGGATTGGGAAAACGCGATCAAGAGTTACAGGTTCTGGGTTCTTAATTTCGAACCGGTAGACTACAAGTAACTCCGCAGTGGAGAAAAACGAAAAAAAAAACCCTTCGGGACACTATGAACAGGGACCCCCTAAGCAGCGAGCGCCTTGGACGAGTTTGTCGGACGTCGGCAAGCCCAATCAGCAGGATTCGACGTGCAACCGATTCCCGGCAAGAGCACAGGAAATCACCCTACGACGCTCCAGGCAACGCTATGTACACACGCAATTCCGCTTGTAAGCCGTTGTCTTGCAGAGTGAAAGTAATCGTGGTTGCAATGGTTGCAATAATCACACGTCTCTAGCTTCTTTATCTCGCCGTTTCGAGTGACAAAGTGGTATATTCTCTGCGAATGCGGACAACGATGCCAAATGCACGGAGGCATTTCGCGGACCACTTGATCGCGGAAACTGTCTTTGAGGCTCCGAGACAAAAGTCATACTGTCGCGACAGGACATAGTGAAGCATCATCGCCGTGTAGAGTAGCCGAACTGCCCTTGCCCCTGAAAACCAAAAACTAGTTTTCCAGTGGCGCATGCCACTGTATTCATCATACAGCGACTATATCTTTTAATTGGCTGGTCTAGGTTTGCACGATGAGTAAAAAGGTCCTTTGGACGACCCAACATTGAACAGAATCAAGATGTGAATAAAGCCCCTCTTGGCAACCGCTAAATTCAGCGTTGGGCATCTAGGTATCCTGATGTTCCTCGATCACCCGGTAAAGAGTTTTAGCGCTATAGAAACGCCTCTACTTTGAAAATCAAAATGAGAAACTACACCTCACCAAATTCAGTTAATGCTGCTAACAGTAGCACGAAGTGGGCCAGGGACATGGTAAGAGAGGGGATTATCTAGCAATTCCATATTGGTAGGGCAGTGCCGATCTTACCAGTAGCTCTCAAAGGAGCGATCTGGCTCCTTTAGGCTTCCAAACAACACACACACACACACACACACACACACACACACACACACACACACACACACACACACACACACACACACATATATATATAGACTACCTCTTTTCAAGGCAAACTTTGCCGCTCAATTAGTTACGACTCATTTACCATTGCCTACTTAATTACCGACTTCCACTCAATTATCATAACAGTTTCGCTGTATTATGTTGATTTGTCATTATTTTAATTTACTAGCTGTTGAAATGTTAATAAAGAAGAGTCTATCCTCATCACATTAGGCAATGGAACTTGAGGGTCCTTCAACCGTGACATTCGTGGTTCCACTGCCAGTAGAGTAAAGCGTGGAAGGAGAAAAAAGAAAAAAATTTTGATGAGGATGATTCGGAGGGGATAGGATTTATTTTTCTGTGTATAATTATGTAGAGGAGAGGCTTTCAGTATATTCTTCATAGTGCCTTTACTGCAGATTTTCAACCTATCCTTGAGAAAGCCCGTGGGCAACCTTCATGAGCTCATTTCACAAACACTTATTGCAATAATGGCAGTACCAATTCTACATTTTGAATGTTCTGCCTACTAGGAAAAAAATAAGATTTTTGGTGATACCTTTTGGATCTAAATAATTAATTCCGTGATACAATTTTCTACTTTTGCTTTCACTAATTCTATCTAAAGACGTAAATCTTTTTCGTTTTCTGACTAACACAAAGTTGCTGTTGGTACTGCAATAGCCTAATCATAGAAATATCGGTTTTTTGGACGAAGAAGTTTGTAACTGGTGTATTTTAGGCAGACTGTCGCAATCAGTATCCAGCTGTGAACCCGTGGCATGTAAGTTTTCCTACTACTACTCCATTCCAGTCTAATGCTAAGTTAGCTAAATTTACTTCATTATCTTCAGATAAGAATAAGTAATACGACTTTCCTAGTGGAATGATTGCTGAAAATAATTCTTTTTACTCAAAAGTGCAAAAACGAGTAAAATGAATGATGTATGTCTGGGACGATTACCATGCTCTAAAGGGGGGGGGGGGGGGGGTATTGTTTAACCGCATCTAGGGAACTCTCCTGGATTTCATATTTTTCGGACAAGATTATTTGTTCGAAAAATAT